ACAGCAGTAGTCCCTCGCTGTCCCAAAACACAGTGGCCATAATCTTTCCTGCAGATTTCTGAACACGAAATTTGCGAGGCGTTGGCGATCCCTCGTGCTTTCATTGCATGGACTCCTGCTTGGTTTCGGGACCCCATTGATGAACCCAAGTTTCATCACCAGGTACTATTCTGGGGAAAAAAAGTTTCCCCGATTTGTTTAGAAAACTCCAAGTTTTCCTTGCATATATCAGATCTGTTCTTCTTCTGAGCTGGAGTCAGCATTCTTGGGACCCATCGAGAACTGACTTTGGACATGTGTAATTTTTATGAATAATGTGAATCACTGTGCCCTCTGAAATCCCCAGTTCATGAGCTAAAACANCTATCGACCTTTTCCAATTGCCACCTGGATCCTCATCGCCGTCTCCATAGTCCTCGTGGGTCTCACATTTGCTATCGTGAAGGCCAGGTCGTTCCAGGGCCTTCGGCTAAGTGGAGAGGAGATCATGAAGGCATGTTTTCTTCTAAACCAATTCGAAACTTGGATGCAGAGCCAAAGAGAATGCGTCCGTTTTGGTTATTTTTTTGCCTCTTCATGACCAAGGCGTACGGTTCCCTGATCCGGAGCTACATCATCTATCCGGGCACCACCCAACCCATAAGGACCCTTGAAGACGCCCTCAAGATGACCGATCTACCCTTCGCAGCTTACACCCTTAACGATGCATTACTGAGTAGCTTAAAGGAATCAAACATATCCTCTTTCAAGGCTGCGGCGAATCGCATGATACTGGTCCCTTCGGCACCGAACCCTGTCAGCCCAAAGATCATGCTAATGGATGGCCAATATGATCTTGAATTGAGCATTTGGATTTTGAAGAAGGGGGGTAATCCAGAATGGAAAGAGGTCCGTATGGCTGAACAAAATTTCCTTGCTTTATCTCTCGCCTGGCCTCTCCAGAAGTATCAGCCCTACAAGCCTAAATTGAACTTGTTCATCGAACGTCTGCATGCTGCGGGTCTTATTACCAAATGGATGTCTGATGACTTGGTTTCATTGGGGTCTTATTCAACTCTGATAGAGGCACAAAGGATGTCCTCCAGTTCGAAGGAGCAACCTTCCTTCGCAATGGAGCACGTCCAAGGGATTTTCTATACCCTGGTTTCTGGGCTCCTCTTGGCTATCGTCGTTTTCATTTTGGAATTCCTTCATCCGAAAAAATCTGACTTAAGGAGGGTGGACGTATGGGCGTGTTCGATAATTGATAGATACCTGCGAAGACAGCATATAAATAGACGTCCCTAAAAAATTAAGAAAAGCGCGAATATTCCTATGAATGAATAAGCTGTGCTCGATGTTTGCCTTCTCTTTTGTCGGCCTGTAATTTTCCAAATAAAATTTGACGGTAGGACCTGATGTTACTGTGCTATCAAATCTCTTAGGAATCAGCTTAATGGAATTTCAATTAGGAATTTTAGTTTTAATCGCGTTCGACTGTGCACGACGTTCCTCACTTTCGGTCCATAAATTTCTGTTAGAGCAGGGCTTCACCTCCACGGCTTTTCATTAGTAATGTAATCATTTTTAGCTTTTAGCAGAAAATGATTACGGCCTCCGCGCAATAAGTCCATATTGCATGTTTAAATAAACTGATGCAATGCATTCCTTTTTTGAATGCCGAGATCTGCAAATTTGAACCAGTATTGCAGCAAAGAACTGTTTGGCAGCCCGCTCTTCGCGATGACACCAACATGAATTGATTTTCATGATCGTTTCAGGAGATTCAAACTTGCGAAGGGCCAGGACCTGATTGCATACCAAACTTACGAGATTAGAACAATTCGAGATATAGGGTAAAGTCTAATGTTGTTCTTCGAAAATGGAAACGTCCATTTTCAATCATATGCGGGGCATACCATAAATAACATCAACATGTCCACCAAAGGATTCAGATATTCAATTTCACTCAAGAGCAGGCAACCAAACCCGATTTCATTGCTTAGGAGTCCGTGGCTCTCTCGCGGGAGGATACCCTTACCCAAGCATGGTATCAAGGTCCTGTTTAAAAGCATGCGCGATGAATCCTGTACGTTCCATGTGTCGTTTGCACGCAATGTGCGCGGGCGGGAATGGACTGGCTACCTGCGTGTGTTAGTTTTTAATTAGCATTTTTCTAGTATGTCCATCAAATGTGATATTGCTCTTCTCACTCGGCTGTCGCAGGGTAGCGACTTTGATGAAACGACTGCGAGTGATAGAACATGCAGCGTCATGGGTATTTAGTCAATTTTGTGATCACCTTGACATGGAGCATTCAATTACTTGCACATTTACATTCGACGTGGAATAAAATCCGATTTCAATGCAGTAGAGTTTGATCATTTCGTTTAATATATACGAGAAAGATCTTCGACATCGAAAACGTTCACTCTTCCACGATATGCAAAATAGCACAGCATTCAAACGTCGCAAACGTGAAAGGCGGAGAAATCAAGAAATCAATGACGATCACGTGAGAGCGTCGGAGCTGGAAGCATTCGAAGACGTGAGGACGCACATCGCACATATATCTCCCACGAGAGAATCCCTGAAGCCAGCAGAGGAAACTCATGAATCGTGGCACAGTGTGAAGGACATGGAATTGAGGAGTATCTGGGTCAATGGCGGGATTCCTTCGACGAAACAGCGATTGGAGAATTTCGGCGGTTAATCCGATTTTAAAGAGGAAAGCTCTTATTTTCAGTGAAATTTCTCGTACTCTTGTCTGCGACGCATCTGCGAGTTGTATCCATGACTAATCGATTTTATCTGTTGGTGACTGATGCTCGAGACGCTCAGTATCAAGCTCCTCTAGAGAGAGAGACAATGCATTTAATCTAGTAGTTTCAAGTAGTACGAGTAACTATAGTGAAGCTCAGAACTGATATTGATACGTTAGCGGTTTCAGGGACCATACATGCTATTAAATATGAGCTGTCCTTAAAAAGAGCTGCGATATGCATGCCCTCTGTACAGACAACAGCTGCTGTAACAATAAGCAGCTCAAAACTCCAGGTCTCTGGTTACGCCTTCCTTCTAAGGAACTCCGCTGGCTCTGCTGACGCTTCCATCTATCCCATGACGTCGCATTCGTGACGGCCTCCTGAATGTTCTCATGGTGTCTACCTTCCGCTGGCAATTATTTGCCCAAATGTGACATCAGTTAATGACGAGATCGCGTTGAGTGCTTAGCAAGGAAGTATCATTTTTCTCAGCAGCTGTGAGCGACTAGAGAAAAAGGCCTTTTTAATAGCCTAATTACCCGTCCATCTGCAGGACAGGTTGGTCAAATGAAGCTGATCAGCATCATGTGCAGATTCAAAATCATACCTTCTCCCATGCCCGGACGGAACCCACTGAAATTTGGTAAATAGGCGATTTGGGGAAGAGTCGGGGGGGGGGGGTTGAATGACGGGACACACTCAATATAATTGATCAGAAATATGGGTGTTCAAATTTCCAGCAGTGTATTTTAGGTAGCGAGTTTTGGAACAGAAGTCGATTAACCTCAAATAAGAAAACGTGAATATTTCAATGGTAGCATCTAGTACTGGATATAATAGTAGCTTCCTGTCTGCATAGGTGAACTTTTTCGAAACCAACACTATCGGACCGATTCGAATCGTGACCTCATCCGACCGGAAATTCGATCGCCAGACGAAGCTTTACTAAACCCGACCCGTGGGTGTGTCACACTTATCGGGCTAGTCTGGAACGTACTCATGCCTTTAATCTTTAAAAGTCGAGGTCTCTCGGTACGCCTTCTTTCTAAGCGACTCTGCTGGCTCTGCTGACAATTCCAGCTTAATGACAGTTCATGTTCTCATATTTCTCTACATTACCACTGACAGCTGCTTATGAAAGAGTGACGTCATTTAATGACGTGATCACGTCGAGCGCTGACGGAACAAGGTGTCCATTTCAGCTGTAAGCGACTAGAGAGGAAGGCCCCTTTGAGAGTATATTCCGCTAACCCAACAGGAAATCTGATTGCCAAACTGCCTGCCCGGTCCCGAGACGGGATGGTCCAATAGAGCTTATCCGCATCCATGCATGGCTCAAATTAATACTGTAACGGCTCAGGCAGCACCGCAGGCGGTGAGTGGCCTGGCCAGAGGGCTGCATTGCATATGAGGGAAGAGCTCTCAGTGAGCCGCCCTGTGAAGGTCGTGATATCGCCCCCTATGTGTCACGCATGACCTCTGACCCTTGACTACAGTTAAGAGATCCTCCTTAATAACCCTCTTGACGTACTTGGAACTTAGCTACCTCTTTTTCAGTTTCATTATTATGCCCCAAGACTAGAAAAACATTATTTTTACATTTTAACCAGTACATCAGCTTCCAAGTGTTCAGAAATGACAGCCAGCGTCCCAGGATCGCAAGCACCTAAGGAGTGATGTTCTCCCCCTTCTTCTATTGATACTATCTTACTCTTCAACAGGATTGGGTTTAGCATTTCATGACACCTCCGAGTTGTGGCACTTGCCCTAATAGTCATGAAGCAGAATCTATCAACTTATTCGTATGCTTATTCTATAGGTGAAATGAAAGTCTAAAATTAGTTTAAGACATCTCAAGATTACAGAACTCAGAAAATAAAGCAAGGCTATTTTTGGACCATGTCCGATGTGATTTTGAAGTTTATTTGAAAACAAAAAGTCGGTATGAATATGTTCCTTATTTTTTAAATGTCGTTGAAATATGGAGAATTGACATCCTCACATAACACCTGGGCAGATTTGAAACTAACAATGCATATGGGAGAACCCATGCTTGCATTGATTCCAATATTCCAATTCAGTCTCCAAATTTGCATTTCCATCATGACCATGATTAAAAGGAGAATGGTGTGAATGCTCTATAACGAAAATGACTAATTCCCTCATTCTTTCAGAAAAGAGATATTTTGAGTATTTGTAGAAAAAGTAATATTCGCAAATTTAGAGAAAGTTCCAGCTACGAATCTTCAGACCACTTCACGTGGAAAGACCAATGTGCCGAAAGGGACAGGAATGTGAGACCTGATCTCTGCTTTCCTCGAGCTTCTCGATCGTACGTTTATCTTGCTCTATCCCTCTATTTGCATTCTGTTCCTTCTCGAGCTTCTCCTCAAGGTCCTTTGCTTTCTTCTCCAGGGTCCGCAGTTCCAGCTGCGGCTTTTCAACCTGGAATCATGAGTCATTCTTTCACTCGGGCAAGAAAAGTAAATATATGCCAAAGGGTAAATGAGGACAGATCAGGAGAGTGAGCGTTTAAGTCACGAAGACGAAGCGAAGGACTGCTTATTCCAATGATGAAGTCAAGGTCAGAAAGAGAAGGATGGCATTTAGGAGGAGCGAGAGTTGTTGTGGGGAATCGAATTTTTATACCAATTATCTCTGAATCATAAAGGCAAACACAGCTAATTAATTCTGAGTTGCTAAGAATGTATGCTGCTGAACCACTTGGAGCGGTCTATTCTTAAAACAAGGTTTATAGCAGTAATAATTCCTAATAAATGGTACCTTTTTACATTTAAGTTCGCTGAAGAAGAGAATGACAGGTTTAACTTGCTCGATATATTGAACAATTTTAGGGCGCTTGCCTTGGAAAGATTTGTAATTTAAGTGAAGCTTAGAGACAGAGCTAGTAGTCATTAAGTCATTAATTATTGGAGGAGGGGAGGACGGTGGAGGATGGGGTAGAAAGTGAGAGGGAGAAGTCGTAGGTTTCCAGAGCCACGATAATGCTCTGCAATTGCTGCAGGAGCAGCTGAATAACAGCGTTTCGCTCGGGAGACGTGTGCGGCGTAAGCGAACGCGGGCTCGACGGCAGTGACTGTGAGTACTGCGGCGGCTACGGGTGCTGCGGGGATGGCGACGGAAGCAGACGCGGATGCCGGTGCGACTGCCACAGACGGACGCAAAGGCGGCGCGACGTGAGCACGAACAGCAGCTACAAGCGGGTGCGACGGGAGCCGGAGCGGAGACGGCTTGACAAGAGGGCGGAGATCTCCAAGCAGGTCGCGTGGGGCGGGGACGAGACACGTAGCTGGCCTGACCGGTGGCGATCGCGGATAGTTAAGCGCCGGCCTGGAGTACGCTCCTTAGCTCGTTTGCTGTTTAAGCTCTTCCTGGATTTTCCTCGCAATATGCGAGTTATGAAATGTCGGGTCACTGGCGATCTGTCGCCGTTTCTCTTGCCGTTTGGGGCGAGCGGTGGAGTTCGCCATGCGAGCTCCTTGGCAGAGGCTGCTTTCAGGATATAAGCGGTTCAGCTTTGCCTAGCAGTTCTTTTGTGCGTGGCCCTTCCCCGCGCGGTAAGAGCACACGTCGCGGTCGGCTTTACCTCGGCCGATGTAATGGCCATATTTCAGGCATTTAAAGCACTGGATTATACGCGGTTGAAGCACGAAGCGTCCACTATGAGGCACAGGCAGCCGATCGTAAGAGCTCCTGCTTTTAGGAGGGCGTGAGCCGTTTCAGTATCAAAGGCTTTCGCGTGGATCATGGGAAGGGGTGCACTTGTCTTTGTTTTCCTCATTCACATGAGACCGCCTTTATGGAGAGAAATTCCAGGTTCGGTTGCGAGGACGTCACGGATAATTTCAAAGTTCTCTTCAGGTCCAACTTCCTTGGAACGAACATGATTAGAGATAGCTTTTTTGCAAGAAAGGCCTCTCCGCCAATACCGGACTCGTACCATCTGCTACAAATCCTCGGTATGCCAGATGCCTTTTAAAGGTTCTAGACAAACCCTGCAGCTCGAGTCGCGCGGATTTCGAGCAGACGGTCTGTTGAAAAGAAGGGGGAGTTCGCGCGAGCAAACGCGTCTTTTACTGGTACTTGCTTGGCAGGCCTTGAATAAAGACAGGGTTTTCAAAGAAGTAGCTCTTAGAGGATTCGGGTCGGCTTGGGTTGATGCTACCGCGAGGCGCATTACTGGAAAAACTTCCGCGAAGCGAGCGAGAGGAAATTGAGGATTTCGTCGGGGTCGAGGGAGGCATCCTTGAGTGGGCAGAGGTCAGGTAGGGAACGGGGTTAGCGTATAATCTATTCCCGACCAAAGTTCTCGGATACTTCCAAATAAGGACGGTTAATAAGCTTGACAGATGAGGTTTTGGGCAATAAATTCTTGGGTTTTGCCCTCGCCCATGATGGGAAGGATTATAAAAATAGATAGGGTTGTCAAAACGTGATATGGATTTTTATGTATTTTCTTTGTGTGAGTGTCCTGCGGATGTCGTGGCGGCAATGGGAGGATTCCAACAGAATCTGACAACCCTGCGCATTCTTTCCCAAAAGGGTGGCACTCACATGTCAATTCCAGTTAGTCACTTTATGGCTACCCGCAATAAAAGTGTCTGGGGTATTCCATATCCGAGAATTTTGGTCAGGAACAGACTCTAACTTGGAGCTGGAGACTTTTGAGGAGTGAGAGGTGGGGGCGAGGGTGTTCGGAAGAGCTCGCGGCGGTTGGAGGGTGCGAGGATGCGGCAGGGAAGAGCGGTTCCCGCCTGGAACTAGGTGAAGGGTTAGAGGTGACTGAAGGTGCATAAGAAAGGGGGCCCTTTATCCTCGTCCTTCTCTTTCCAGGCATGATATTTGCCGGGAGAGAGAGATGAGTAGGAAAACGTTCGAAAAACTAAGGAGGAGCTCAAAGGAAAGAAGATGGTTTAGAGGCAGAGTAAATCAATGAGGGCAGGCGAGAGGAAGAGGGTGCGCACTGTCTTTAAAAAGACGATCCATATACATAAGAGGATAACCTGTCTGTCGTTCCGGTAAACTCCTCCTAGACGGATGAACGGATTTTCATGAGTGGTGTCAATCGAAAGCTTAGGACCGGGAGGCGATACTTATTGGGTAAAAAGTCTGAGAAGAACTGTGAATGTGTTTTCTAAGGGTTCTAAGGTTTCTAAGGTGTCTTTCACGCGTCAGAGGCCTGCACAGATTGACTTTTCCGAAATGAAGCTGGATCGGCCCGATTGGATCGTGGCCCGCACCCGACTCGGAACACGATCGTCGACCAAGCTTTGTTGCTCCAAGCTGTGGATCGTGTTGTGCTGATATGGCCAGCCCCGCATCCCGCTTAGGCCTCTAAGCTTGAGAAAGCCAAGTTGACGTATTTGATGACGTATTTGCCCCAAAGGGGGAGGGGCGAAGGGACCCTTGCACATCTGGGCAGAAACGCATGTTTGGGTGGAACGGTTCACAAAGAAGGGTACTCTGTGCAAGCAGATAGGGTGGCGAAGCGGGTCTTTGGCATGGGAAACCGTGCAAGACAGTTATATCGGGAAATCTGAAACTCATGAGAATTTCCCTATACGCCGGGAAAACCTCTTTCTTAGGGATGGGTTTGTGAAATCGATGCCCAGCCATCTCTCATCCATAGGCATATACTTAATAGGATAATCTGTGTCAGGGTGTCATTCCGGGGAAACTCCTCCCAGACGGATGAACGGATATTCATGAGTGAGATGCATCCCACGTATACAGGCGATTGTGGTTTACCGAAACGCATCCCCTTATGATCGCAAGCACGTTTGCTTGAAATTTTTAGCTCGGTCTCTTTAGTATGCTATGCGGTTGAAATCATAGTTACAAAAAGGAAATGGGGAGTCTCTGATGACGGGAACTGCCCTCTCACACTCTCTCATTACTATGAGTTCCAAATTCGCTTTTGTGTGCCTTAATTTTAAACTATAGGTGTCATTCGAAACCTGGTGGCCATAACTATTGGGTCGAGAGCTTAAAATGTTCTACCATTTTCATATTATGAGGCCTAATTTCGACGATGAGAAGAGTATTGTACTGAATGCCTTCCTTGGCGAAGTGCTCTCAACCAACAATGATAGTATGAGGCATTGTCGGCTAGGAAGTTATTGTTATCCTAACTTCTGCTAATGATTATTTGTCATTCTTTGTCGCGTTACCAGTTCTGTCACGGGTTCAAGACAGTGCTTCGAGAATGTTTCCAGCATCGAATTGGTGCTCCAATATATTTTTTAAATGTTGGCGTTCTCAAAATATCCCGAAAAAGTTGGGAAGTTTCAACTATTTTGTGGCGGAATCCACTGAACGTGCGAGAAAGAGAGAAGTTCTGGAGTCACATTGCATGATGACGTTCACAAAAGGCTGCTTCCCAGGACCCTTCCAGGAATAGTGAAACTGACGAAGAAAGAGCAGAATGTCATCCACGAAATGTTCTCATTCGACTTATTTCAACTCGTGTGAGCACGGGATTTTAGACTAGTTAGGTAATATACTGCAAATACAGTATGAGGAGATTGAATGGTGAAAGGATACTACCTGAGAAAAAGCAATTTCTTCGCTGCCGGAACAAAAGGCCCTGGCAGCTGGGAAAGGAATGCCCAAACCGAGGACTGGAGAACCTGCTTACTTAGGCCTTAGCGGCCTAACCCTGATATCACCCTTCATCTCCTTTTCGCTTGAACCCTCTATAAGTGATGCTTCGCCTATTTTCCATAACCTTGCGCCTGATCGCTCGTCACCACGGCTTCTGAAAAGACTCTTCCGGCCAGCTAGCACTTAGAAACACCTCTTCTCATGGGACTGCTATTCCTAAACTCATTTGCGACAGGATGTAAATTTAAATCGGATATAATATTAGTAAATACGAGGGCTGATCATTTAGTTCCATGACAGATAGTGTCACTGCTCTCTCACGTAAGGTTCAGCTAAATTCCTCTAGTTTGCAATGAAGTGCATCTCTAAGGATACCTTCGGGCAGTTACACGTTGAGACTTTTCGCTAGTTGTCCGGAAGCGTCAGTTGAATTGAGTGCCGTCAGTCACGATCGTTTCGTTTTTGTTTCGTAATGGAATGTTTAGACTGAACAACAATATGTTGTGCGCTATTGCGTTCTACGAGGTTTGAGTGTTGCGGATACCGTAAAAGAAATGGCAGAAGTTTACGGTGACCGGTATTTGAAGAGAGCTGCGATTTTTCAAGCGGCACAAACGTTTCAAGAAAGGACGAGAATCTGTGGCCGACGACCCATGACCTGGCCATCCGAGGACTTCGACCACCCCAGAGCAAATTTCAGGAACCTAGGAAATCATGGACAAAGACCGGCGCATCACAATTTGTCAAATAAGCAGCAAAATGTCCATCTCATATGGCAGCGCTCATGCAATTGTGACAGAGCATCTGAAAATGGAGAGAATCTGTGCTCGCTGGATTCCATACCATTTGACACCTGAACAAAAACAAAGTGTTGAAGTGTATGAGGCCATGCTAACACGTTTTGAGCGGGAAGGTTAAGGACTTCACAGTCACATAGTGACCGGTGACGAGACATGGATTTACCATTATGATCCAGAAACCGAGCTTCAACTAAGGTTGAGGAAAGAGCTGCAGGGCCGGCATTTTGGTTCGGACGAGGAAGCTCAAATTGCCACAAACACAACACTACGAGGTATATCGAAAAATGGCTTGCAAGAGGCTTTCGACGGTTGGGTAAAGCGATGGCGGAAGTATATCCAGTTTCAGGGAGAGTATTTCGAGAAGGAAAAAGAAGCCGTGGACCATGACGACGGCAATTAAATGTATGATAGCTTCAGTCTACGAATTAAATGATCAGCCCTCGTACATGAAGAAGAAAAAAACTAAACTGCTGGGAAATAAACACCTAACTTCCTTTGAAACAGGTGAAACTAATATGTAGTTATTGGTTATTGGTTGATTATGTGCCTCGGTACTGAAGAACAACATTGTCACTCATGGGTGTTCATTTCCCTTTCATCCTCTCTGGTTACTCCAATCTACAGAAAGTGCGCCGCCGACCCACGACGCCACGAGTTATTACTAAATATAATAATAGTCGACGTCCTCCAGTCAGTCCGCTGGAGGCCTGCTGGATGAAATTTTCCAAACCCTACCCCTTTTGCCCGACCCAAAACTCGATCGGCGGGCTAGGCAATTACCGCACCAACCCCCACGGTCGTATTGGGCCGTCCCGCTTAGGCGTCTAAGCTTCACAACTCAAGGTTCATCCTTTTCCTAAGCGCCTTACGCTTCCGGCTACCCCATGACGTAACATTATTTCTGGCCTGTTCATTGCCCTTAGTTCACTAATTTCCGCAGTGAAGTCCTCGTGTCTTACTGTGATATAACGACTGCAGTTTGCACGCTGAGTGCCAATGTATGTCTACTTTCTCTTTCTGCACTTGACGACAATCAGGCAATGGGCGATGGGCAGTGGCCTTTCGGATTTTGGCAATCATCCGGTTCTCGGTGAAGTAATTCGAACCCCAATGGATTGGTTGTGAGGGATGGTGCTGAACCGCTTTTGAGATCGCTATCAACATAAGGTAGTTTTCAATTTTTCCTTACTTTCCAGCATGCATTTTCCTCATTGGTTGTCCAATGAATCATGCAAATTTGCAAACTTTGTCTTAATAATGCACTTTCAACCTCAATTTGGAGTTTGGATTGTCTATAAATAATTAATAGTCAAGGAGTCAGCAGATCGAAAGAGAGAATGCCGTGTTCAGAGGGTTGTTCTATTATCCCTCATATCCAGGCAGATTGATCATGCAGCCTCTCTCTTTGCTGTCGGTTATAACTGATCACCTGAGATCTAATCCCACTTCATAGCGAGCATTTCTCGCCACAAATTTGGTGACCACCAATTTGGGTTCGCTATACCACTGGCAGTTGCCTGCCCGAGAGTGACATCATTTAACCTCTTCAACACACCATATATTGGACAAATCCATGCCCATCATACGCTATGAAATTGTTTGTTAAAAGAAAATCATTTTTGTTTCTGCATAAGTTCCATACTTAGATGCAATTACCTCTGATCTATCCTCCTCTCGCGATATTTATCCCTCCGAGAGCACTTACTGCGAGCAATCTGAGCGTCGTGAGTATCGGTAGTATGGTGTCTCCATGACGCATACGGGTGCGATGTGTATGTTGAAGGGGTTAATGACGTGATCGCGCCGAGCGCTGATGGGAAAAAAACTAGAGAAAAACCCCACTGCCAGCGTATTCACCAGCACGCAAAATGAAACGTGTTAGTCTATCAAATTTCAGTCCGTTCCGCGGGTTGGGTCGGTCCAATAGAGTAAATCAGCATCCCATGCAAACCTCTAAATAATACACCATTCAGTGCCAGTGTTCGAAATTAGAACAACGTGTCTGACTCGAATGCTACGAAGCGCAACTTGTTGAACATTTGCTTATATGCAATTGGAGGTCCTCTGATGACATAACGCATCCCCTGTTATTGCTCCAAAACGTGGCAGTCTGAAATTCAAGCATAATCCTTAATAATTATATGAAAGAACTCACTGAAATTTTTATGAAGAGATCAATTGGATGGGGGGGGGGGGGGTAGAGAGTCTTTGAGGATGTGAAACATCTCCGTTCCTCCATCTGATACCTGAGGATGTCTATTTGGAATGTTATGAAACGGAACCCCATGAAATTCGGTAAATAGGGAAACTGTGGAATTTTGGGGAAGGGATGAGGGGACGCACCATTTAGGGTTCAATTGTTAAGGTTCAATTCAACTTAGTCACGATGATTTCGCTTTAAATGGTGATGCAGGCTTATGGAACTCACTCTCCTTTATCATTATTTGGAATAAATATAAGTTTTGATTGTCTGAGTCAGCTGTAATTGGGATACGAATACTTGATCTTCCCTTGACGTCTGAGTTTGGGAGGTTGGAGGCTGGAGTATTTTGTTCCTTGCGCCGGACTGTGCTGGCTTCTCTTTCACGTTGACCAACTGTCGTTGCAGTTCGTCGACCTATAAGAACCCTTATGAAAATGTCTTACAGGATTCCTATATATTCATTTAGGAATATAAAGGAATCCTATAAGAATCCAATAGGAACCTAAAGGAATCCTATAGGATCCTATATGCCCTATAGAGTTCAGTTTGGGACCTATAGAGTCCCCTTTAGAACCTTTAGAGTCCCCTATTGAACCTATTGAGTTCCCTATAGAACGTATAGATCTCCCTATAGAACCTATAGAGTTCCTCATAGAACCAATAGGGTTCCCCATAAAGCCTATAGGTTCCCTTTAGTTCTAGTTCCACTAGATGGAAGTATTGGGTTGTCACATTTCTCAAAGGGCACAAAAGTGCCCCCCCCCCCTCACCCATGGAATCATCTCTCACAAGAGAGTTTTGTATGTCCCCTAATATCTCGCCTTGCCTCATTGTAGCAATCAATTAACTTTGACAGTTCCTTATTTGTCATCCCCATCTTCCAGATATAATCATGGAGTCCCGTGAAGAAATATGCCCTTATTCCTTTTGAAAGCCTCGTACGAAACTGAGAAGACTCTATCCAGATGGAGTTTTAGTAAAGAAAGGTACTCGCAGGTTCAGTCTTCTATTTCCTTAGGTCGTGAGAAGAATACCACTTTTTTCTGCCAAAGGAAGTAGATGTGCAATCCAGCGACACGTGGGGCGGTGCCTCAAATTATGCAGACCCCCGTAGTACTGGTATTAATAATGGATGTATCCCTACCATGGAAAAACCCCTAATCGGTTTTTTTATTTGCACCGAAATGGTGCGCCAATATTATCCCCGGTCGCCTTATCCGTCGTAATGCCTGGATTTCGAAACCCAAAATATCCTCCCGGGGTCCTATAGGTCAGGATACCTATAAGACCCTATAGGATTCTAAAGGATCCTATAGGTTTTTCGTGTTTCAAAAACCTAAAGGAAAGTCTATAAGTTTCCTATAAGAAATAACTATAGGTTTCCTATAGGACATTTCCGTAAGGGAANTTCGTGTTTCAAAAACCTAAAGGAAAGTCTATAAGTTTCCTATAAGAAATAACTATAGGTTTCCTATAGGACATTTCCGTAAGGGAACCCAGCCTCTTGCATTGGAGTTGCTTGAACAAGCAAATGAGAATGGAATGTAATGTGAAACCTTTTCCTTGAGGATCCTTTCAACCATAAGTTTCTCTCGCTTCAACTCTCGGTATGCATCCTGTTCCTTTTTTAACTGCTCCGGGAATTCTTTCACTGTCCGCTGCAGCTCCTCTACCTGGAATCATGAATAATTCTCTCAACTCTGATTCGTTCAAAAAAGAAAAATGAGAGAGTATAAGAGACCTTATCTTTGCTTTCCTTGAGGTCTTTTATAAACTTTTGCCTCTCAAGCTCTGTCTCACCCAATAACTTCTTGTATTGCTGCTCAAGTTCTTGAATCCTACTCTTAAATTTCTGCTTCTCCATATCCAGTTCCTTCTGCATTTCTTTGTTCCGTGTTGGCACCACCTTCATTTCATTCTGTACCTGAATGTGAATTAATGAATGATGATATACCCACAGCAAGTATTTGCCCTGTGCTCCGTGATAAGAAATGTTTTAAGGCGTTTTGGTAAAAGTACAGTGAAGTCAAGTAGTCTAATCTTGTACAGAAATGCTCATTAATTCCTGACTGGGCCATAGAGTAATATTTAAAACTAACCTTGAGATTGTTAATAGTCCATTGATTCCGTGTGGATTCTATCATGTTCCGAGCAAATAGAAATTCGGCGGCATGCGCGTCTGGATGCATTTCTTACTTGGTTTTTTTATATTTCAGCAGACGCTTAATAATGCACAGCATTATTAAGCGAACAAGTATTGGCTAACAAGAGTGAAAGATACCTGGATATTTTCTGAAATTACCAGACTTGAAAGAACTGGATTGATAAATTAAGTTGTTATTTAACAATACCTGGTCACTTTCCCATTGAAGTACGAGAATTTCGTTCGGAAATAGCAGAAAATGTTGGCATCCATGGAGTGACTCAGATCACTTACCTGCCAGGATGCACATGTGTTGGGCACTGCCTCTCCATTTCCCAACATGCGACTATCCTCACGTTCAAGTGGCCTATGAACGAAAAAGGCATAGATGTATTCCAGGAGATGACAACATCTCTTCGAATAGTAAAAGCCCTGCCTTTAGATGTAATTTGGCATCATTTTCCTGAAGTTTTCTTAATTTGATCGAGTTGGAATCGTATACTTATGATGAAGGAAGTATTTTGCTTTCTTGACCTCATTTTGAAGCCAGAGAAACCCTCTTAGACTGAATCAAGAAGCTTACCGCCATATGCGATTTTTCCCTTTCCCAGTCATCATTGATGATACAGCGTGAGTCAAAAGTCCTGCGCACCTTTGGAACGTTAGTAACATCCCTACGCTATACAGTATCAATGAATGTGTGGTTTGCACCATTCGAAAGACTAGAATTCTGTCTCGAACTTCGGACAAGAAAATCCTATTGTGGGGGTTCTACAAAGGGATTTTTTAATAAAGAAAATCCTTTAAAGGCAATGCCATCTACAAATAGGCTTGTGGAGCCGCGTCCAATTGATGAAGTGTCTGAGTTATTCTGTCTTGGTTGCGATCAATTCCAAATCAAGGAGAATTGAGAAGAATGGCTTATTAATCGACCATTGATAAACGAGTTGCAAAGATTTGGCTTTACTCTTAATGCTATGAGAACTGCCCGACAATTCTTGAATAAATTAATCGAGAAACCATGAGCCGTAACTTCAACGCCCGTTATCAACGCTAATTTTGACAACACGGGAACCATAGTAGATCGTCCTCGACCTGGATGCCTTCTGACAGTTGAACGGAAAAGTAGACACGGGGCGGCAAGCATATTTTCAGGTGCCAATGCATTTATATGACCCAGAATAGCAATTTCATTTTCGAAGGATATCATCGGCAAAATGATGCAAAAATACTCCTTAAATCGAGAAGTATCTAGTCTCTCGAATGTTGAAATCCGCATATTGATTAGATCTAGCTTTCAGGTTCTTAACTTTCAAAAGGTGGGTAGCACTTTTGACTCACCCTGTATTAACTATACCTCATGTTCTTAAGGTGTGAAGATACACAGCGAATGGCGCTGCAGTAGTCCTACTAGCATTTCAGAGCGAGTAATGGATTCTCACCATCTTTGGCCCTCTTTTGAAGCAAGATTGGAAATATCGGGGTTTGAACGTGCGTCGTGATTTGTGGAAACCTGGTTGCCATTAGATGAGCCCGTGCATCCTGTGGAAAAATTTAACTATAAATGGGAACTTAAGCCAATAGGTGCAGTCATGCTCTATCGATTAGTCAAGAAAGGGAAGGAGAGGGAGTACCCCACCACGTTCGCAAAATATAATTTATATGCTCACCATCCCCTTTGAAGTCCCAAGTTATTCTGCCCCAAATTATGCACCTACTAAGACATATCTGCATTAACGGGGAACCCAAGTAGCAGACGCGAGGTTATCTTACTGAAATTGCAACTTGTGGATCTTAAGAAACGCAATGGAACAAATGTGTATGTTATGAGAAACATAATTAAAATATAAAATTTATCATATTATCTATAGGCACGTATTCGTAGTCGATTCACTATGACATGAACGACTCGGCAAATGAATACGACGGCTGAAGTCCGTTGGACCTCTTAAGGTACTAGGGGAAAATGAAAATCGACCCCCCTAGAATCAAATTCTGGCTTATAATTATTGTAGAGGAC